ACAAGCACGTCCCCGTGCTCCCGCGCAGGCACAGAAGCACAAACTCCAAATTCACGGACCTACTTCACAGTATGGATCCTACCAACAACACCAAATGTGGCGAGGTGGAGAAACGAGGGCCCAGGCGGGATTCAATCCCCAGGGATGTCCCTTTGGCTGACTGGTTAGAGCGGGATCTCACCCAGGAGTCGGGCGATGGAATCCCGCCTGGGCCCTCGTTTCTCCACCTCGCCACATGAACATGGTAATGAGACAAGTCTAAACCATAAAGGGAAAAGTAAACACAATATCATCGTAAACATAATAAGAATCACACGCTCCAGCTTGAGCTTTTGTTGTGAACTTGTCCCTGAAGATGTGAAAGCAGTTTTGTGTTTTTCCGGTTTGATCCGGTTCCAGCGGGGGTGCCCTTCCTGATCACAGCAGAACTCTTTAAACAGTCGCATCGTCCGGCTGCTTACATCATCGGCGGTTCCCTCAACTGGCTCTCCAACTTCACTGTGGGCTTCGTCTTCCCGTTCCTGCAGGTGAGAACGCTCCAGTAATCAGCTGTGATGAAGCCATGACCTTTGACCTGGGCAAAACTGTAACTGTTTAAAACATTTAAATCATATGAAAAAAATGTTTTTCCCCCGAACCCCTTCCATCCCTCAGATGTCTGCAGGGTCCTACTGCTACCTGGTTTTTGCCGCTGTGTGCTTTGCTGTGGCCGTCTACGTTTACGTCGTCATCCCAGAGACCAAAAACAAAACATTCATGGAGATTAGCCGGATGTTCTCTAGGAAAGAGGCGGTTCTGGAGATCCAGGGTCTGATCCATGACCAGCTGAAGCTGCAGAAGATGAATGGTTACGGGGGTCTGGAACACACCTCGCTGGAGTTTGACAGCTCGTCCTCCGTACCGTAACCAAGTCTTAGGAAAACTGCTGAGCCCTTCAACATGAACACCAAAGAACTCCTCGTCTGCACCCAGCAGCTTCTCACTGGCTGAAGCTTGCTCAGCACTTTTGTCTTATGTTTTGGTATCTTGAACTCATTTTATAAACTTAGTGTGGAGTCCAATCATGTTTCCTTGTGTCATGCTTGTCCTAGAACAATCCTGGTCCTGGACGTCCCTATCCAGTATATTTTAGGTGATTTTTTTAGCAGGTGATGAACCAGTTCCAGTAGAGCTTCACGAGCTGCTGAACAGGTGATTTCAGCTCCTTGATTCAGGTATGTTGGAGCAGAGAAACCACTAAAACATGCTGGGTAGTGGCCCTGGAGGACCAGGGGGCTCATTTATCAAGCTTGCTTACGCACAAAACGGGGTTGGAAAACTGCGTAAGCGACTTTCCACACAAACTTTGGGATTTATGAAAGAAAACGTAGCGGAAAAATGTGCACAACTTTAAGTTGACTAAGGACCTGGCTTACACACATGTTGGACATGGAGAGCACCTGCAGTGCTGCTGCTGAGAAGATACAATTATGAAATCCTGCAGCATTATCACTTGTACCGCTTCGTTTTCACACAGAACAAGACCCCCCACGCGCACACACACACACACACACACACACACACACACACACACACACACACACACACACACACACACACACACACACACACACACACACACACACACACACACACAGCCTGAAGCGCAGAATACGGAATGCAGAATATCAGCAGGGGGACAGATTGAGACAGAACATCATACGTCTGTGACAGTGTGTGTGTCCTGTCACTGTGACCCGATTGATCATGCACCCGGGCTAGTTGTACAAAAGAGATTTATGTGTGGGTGACTGGTTAGTGTGTGTGACTTTCACCCGGGAGTCTGGGGATCAAATCCTGATTGGTCCATTTTTTTATATCCGCCACAAATCTCTCTGAATAACCCACAGCATTGACGGCTTCAGCAACGCTGTGCCACTCCGTGGATTTTCTCTTATTTGTTTTGCAAAAGCACTTCCTTTCATTTCTCCACCTCACCCACAGGTACCTCAACTTCTGCTTGTGAAATTGCGCTTCGTTGATCTGCGGTCGTGATCGAAATGCTGCAACAGCCGGCTTATGTATATGCATGAGGTCCACAAGGCACTTTGCTTTGAGGGCAGGATGTGACTAAAAAGCAGCTGAGAACCTTTCTAGATAGTCCCTGATTTATGAAGCGGAGATTGCGTGCAGCTGTGCGTACTCCATGTTTGATAGATCACAAACCTGCTTGGCGTAAGTATATTTTTTTGCTGAGCTTAAGTACATTTTAGTAAGGATTCTACGCAATGTTTGATAAATGAGACCCCTGAGCTGCCCACCTTACCCAAGATTCAGAGTGACCTTTGAACCTTAACATCTAAATTACTAGAGGTGCTGAAGTATTCCCAGGATCTGTCCATCCATCAACATTAAACAATCACCTTTCCCATCCCCAGCCAGTCGCGCCCGAGGTGTTGTGTGTATAAAAGCAGAAAATGCTCAAACATTGTAACTCAACCTAAAAACCACGAAACGGCAAAAACAGATAAAACTATACATGAGGGATCTGTAATGACTACAATCTGACTCTAAAACCTGGGACTGCTTCTTCTCCAACAGATCGTTCCACGGCCTGGGACCAAGGCTGCAAAAGCACGGTCACCCCTGGGCTTGGGCTCGGATCGGTGGATCACTAGCAGGTCCTTCTGTGGTGAAAAAGGGAATTTTCTGGTGAAATCCGTGTCAACGGTGATGCTGAGCCAGACGAGGACTGATAAACAAATGCAGGATCTTTACTTAAGGATGATAATTCACCGTCAGCCGGTCCAGGGAAACCAGAAGAGTAATGTGAGCCCGTTTCTCGTCTCCATGGATGAAACAAATGGCGCCTTGAAAGACTTGTGGCATCAAGTCCTCTCCATGCCGTGTTTTTCTTCAGTTCAGCAACTAAACCAGGTGGTTTCAATCAGCACAGTGAATGAACCTTGTTCACTTGCTGAGCAGAACAAAATCCCGGCATTGAGAGGACTTGATGATGCCACAATTCCCATCTCTGGAGGAACGTCTAGTCCCGACATTATAATCAATTTCCCTCTGGGATTAATAAAGTATTTTTGAATGGAATAAACACACACATCTCCAACAGAACTTAACTAGGCGACGCCACGGAAAGAAACGAGAGCAGACAGAGTAAACCAGCCATCGAGTTTAAAAGACAAGTCCAGTCTGACACCACTGACTTTTCAAAAGGTGAGAGCGACAGGAGGTTCTGGCCATGAGACTGGCAACCGCCCAGAGTAAAGGTAGCCATCTCTGATCTGCTGCCGTTGAGGAGTTTGTGACACAGAAACTGATCAGATCAGAGCAGAGGAATCATTCATGCTCTTCTGGTTTAGTCTGAAATTCCACAGCTTACCTGAGTATCGTGGCTGACCATGTCTGCTTGATCACCACCTGGACCCCTCTTCTCATCGCCACTTCCAGCAGGATCATGCTCCACGTCACGGAGCTCAGATCATCTCTACCTGGTTTCTAGAAGAAGACTCTGTGTGTGTGTGTGTGTGTGTGTGTGTGTGTGTGTGTGTGTGTGTGTGTGTGTGTGTGTGTGTGTGTGTGTGTGTGTGTGTGTGTGTGTGTGTGTGTGTGTGTGTGTGTGTGTGTGTGTGTGTGTGTGTGTGTGTGTGTGTGTGTGTGTGGAATGGCAGCACAGGAGTTAAGCGCCCACCCCATAACTGAAGAGTTGCAGGTTCAGGCCTCATCAGTGGCAGTTGTGTCCTTGGGCAAGACACTTAACCTGCCTTGCCTGCTGGTGGTGATTGGATGGACCGGTGCGCCTCAGGCGAGCTATGGCTACATTGTAGCTCATCACCAACGTGTGAACGTGTGTGTGAATGAGTGAATGACTGATACAATTACAGGCCATTTACTTTTGGATTGAACCTGTTTCAACATGGCCACCTCAGTAAACTGACCTCACGTCTGCAGCCAGGAGTCTCGGGGCCTCATTTATCATCGATTATCATTTTGTTTGATCTCGTACCCAGACTGTACTAGGTTAAGATCACGTATAATTGATTACTTTAGCTGGAACTTGGTGTTTTTCTCCAGGTGTCAAACACTAAACAAAACTATTTAACTGCCAAAAACGTGTTTTTTATTAGCATTTTAGTAAAACTTGAGGTGACCTCTGGGCCACCTGTGTGGTTTCCATCTCTGTGAGGTTGAGAACAGCCTCCTGGTCACCGTGGTTAAATGTTCCGACACTCGGCTGATTAAAGTCGCACCTTTCTGTCACAAGCTGTAAAAGATTTTATAGGCCTGGTTGTTACAATCGGGCCGACCCAGTTTACACACCGTGCTGCCACACAGACCGCTTTATAGCCACACACACACACACACACACACACACACACACACACACACACACACACACACACACACACACACACACACACACACACACTCCTTGATTGGTTCCATGGACGATGTTTCATCAGGAGGACACTGTAAAGCAGACCCAGGACTGAGACCATCTGGTGGACATGAGCAGTCGGTTCCATGACCCAGATGGACTCTTCCATAACTAAACTTTCTTCTCTGAATGAATCAAATGTTTAAAAAGTTGATGATTTCTAGAAAATATTTTAAACAGAAAGACGATGAAGTGGTTTGTTAACTGCTAATAGCAGCTCCAACTTTTGGCTCTAAAAGCGTTAGCGCTGGAGAGCTAACAGAGCTAGCTGTTTTTAATGTCAAATTACCATAGCCTGAAGGCTACAGATGCTAATGCTGCGTCTCAATAAACATCTGCTAACAGATACCGTCACACGGTAATTAAATTACCCCATTCTTCAATATTTAAGGTTCAGCTGAACAAAAGACCCTAAATTTACCCAAATTATGCCCTTCACGATTAAAGAAATGTGTGAAAACATAAAGTAATTTGAGTTTTAGGTCTGAAATTTCTCAGGCTGAAACAGGAAAAGGGTTGGTTCTGATTTCAGTCCATTTTTCTAAGCATTTATAAAGTTAATTATAACATAATATTTCATGAATGAGTTAGATTGGAAATTTGCCATTTTAGGAGATAATAAAAACCTGTAAGTGTGTGTGTGTGTGTGTGTGTGTGTGTGTGTGTGTGTGTGTGTGTGTGTGTGTGTGTGTGTGTGTGTGTGTGTGTGTGTGTGTGTGTTGGTCACCTGTTGGTTCAAACCACCACTAGATGTCACCATTTCAGCATTCAAACGTTCCAGTCTGTCTGGACTGTCCGTATTCCTGATCACACTGTTGATTCACCTTTGACCTCTTCCACTGCCAGCCTTTTCACTGGGAAACGACACACTTAGGTGTTATAAGTCTGCCTGATTACAGCTTTTATAAAGCAGAAACAACTAATGACCAATACACAGCTCAATATGCAAGGTGTCTGGGGCCCGAAGGGTCTGAGCCTTTCTTTAGGGCAGAGGGAGTTTACCTACCAACCCATTTGATGTCATTGTGCTCTTCAGCAAGTCATTGTATACTCAGTCATTACTAAACAACTAGTAGAAGTTCACAACTACCTGTAATCGTGGATCCCCCATCAAGACTCAAAAGGGACACCTGAGTGTCTGTCTCGACGAATAACAATACAACAGTTTCCCAATTGTGCCACCTGTGTTTGGTCCCTGGTGTCCCACCGTGGGTCTATTGGCCCCTGGCGGGTTCTTTACAGTACTAATACACAAAACACAACAATAGGAGCTTCTCCACATGCTTCTAGCTCCTCTTTCTGCACGGTGAGTCTCCATCGGGTTAAAGGCTGTTGATTCTGTTATAGCTAAGTGTACAAAACGTGTAACTGTTTAAAGTTAGGGTTGAATCATTTATTATAGGTTAGCGTTCATGGTTCATAGGAACTTTCTGCACAAGTGAGGATTTATTCTGCAGGAAAAATGTTTGATCAGAGTTCACTTCAGCGCTCTAAGAGTCTCTCTAGCCTAATAAAAAACATCAATCTCAGCTTTAATAACACAGATTAGAGGGAATTAAACCGTCCTTGACTTTGAGTTGCTCCTAAATCACAGAACGACACCTACTGCAGCAGGTGCCCTGACAGGTGTGCTGTAGCAGAAAGGCTTCTAGATGTATAGCCCCCCCACCCCCACCCCCGTTCAGTTCTGTAAACTAGAACCTCCCAGGAAGCTCATGTGTGGATGTGGGTTAGCTTAAAACTCCCCCCTGACCCAGGAGCAGTGACGCTAACAGCTGGATGCTCCTTCAGTGAAGGTGGGATGAGTCCGACTGAGAGCAGCGTCGTCCACGTTGAGGTCAGCTGCAGCTAGCAGCTCTAACCTGTCATTTCTGTGGCGGCCGCTTTCTGGACCTGGCCGGAAGATCCAGCTGTAAGACTTGAGGTTGACCGAGGTCACCTCCAAGTCCAAGCATCTGTCATCAGCACTCCAGCCAACTCTCGTCGTCCAGCTGTTGGAAACATAAAACAACAGAGCTGAAAGCAGCTAGAGCGAGTGGTTCTAGGTCAGGAGAACATTAGAACGTGAGTCTTTAGAGGATCGGCAGTGACAAACAGATGTCATAACTAATATTCTGTCACAAAATGGATCTTTTTGCTCTAATCATTCATTGTTGGACTTTCATGCTGATTAATAATCACAGCAGATGTTTCTCTTTTCTTCTGAAAATAAC